CAGCACTTTCACTGGATAGAGGTCGCTTGGTAAAATATCTATCCAAAGAGGTTTGGCTTTGCCTACTTTTTAAAATGTTTCTAAAATGACTTAGGCAAATGTCATTACTCTGAGTAGCAATACAGCTAGTGTGAACCTTTTTGGGATGTTTCTTTTCAATAAAATCAGTCACTTTCTGATAATACCTGAAGATTTCCTTTATCGAGCGAGATCCTTCCACGACGAAGCAAACACGCGGACTGAGACCGATGAACAGAAGTGAATAAAAAGTGGTGCTGCGAACAAATGTAACATCGTATGGTGAGTTTTTGTTCGTATCGTGGAGCAAAAATATGTTCGAATTTCGTGTCGTATCCTGAAAATTTCGTATGCTGGGGCATTCGTATCCTGAGGTACCACTGTAATAGAATATTTTTGGGAAAATGCCAATAGATATACAGTATAACTGAGATGAAACGTATAAATTATAGTATTAATTAATGATTGATTTTTATGTAAATGATAATAAATTGACTTTAATCACTTAACAATTTTTTGTATTTAGTTTACAATGAATATGATAATTAATAAGTACAAACATAAATGATAAATATTATTATTATTACTACTGTTTGATTTTAAAAATTAGGTTTTATTTTATTTATTTTCTATCTGAACTTACAGTAGGCCCTTAATTTAACAGGACTAACTGGGGCTGTCTGCTATTGCCAAAAGTCTGTTAAATCAAATAAATTTTAAACATATATTAATGAACTTATAATTGTATGGGATGTATTAAAATGTTATAATGTATAAGTATGAAATTTATAAAATTCTTTTTACCCTGCGGGCACTAAAGTTTTTTCCATGCCCACTGTGGTCAACCCTACAAGTGGAGAAGGTCTGTTCAGATACCTTGGGCTTCATCCCAGATGGTGTGGGATGAAGCCCAAGGTATCTGAACAGATCACTCACGAAAAATTCTTGGGTTTTTTGACTATCCAGGTTCAATTCAAGATACCTCAGAGTGATAGGCTGATGTCTTAACAACTTTGGCTATCTACCCAGCAGAATAAAATATTATTACAATAATATTGAATAATTTATGTGTGACACTAAAACATTTGTTAAAAATATAAAAATAAATTTATGACAAGAATCAATTAATTAAACAAGAATTAATTAAACATGTCAAAAACTATACAATATAATGGAATGTTTCCACTACTATTGCTGACTTATTGACCCAGTTATTAAAGTTATGTTCAGAACTGTATGAATTATACTGAACATTGTAAATATTTCTTACATCAAAACTAAACATAGAGAATTCATAAATGAAAATATTAAACAATTAGATTTATGAAATACAGTCGACCCCCCTATAAGATCATTGATTATTCCGTTTTATATGAATTCCATGTTGTACGAGTCACTTAGATTTTACAAATACATGTACCGGGCTGTGAACGGCTCACGTATTTGTAAAATTTAAGTGACTCGTACAACATGGAATTCATATAAAACGGAATAATCAATGATCTTATACGGGGGTCGACTGTANGTGATAAGAAAACAGGAAAACAACATTTTATCTTAATTAAAATGTTTAAAAATATTTATATATTCCATAATATAATTATAAATTAATGACATTCATAATATTATTTCATAGACTAAATAAATATTGAGTAAATAAAATGAAATAAAAAGAAGTAAAAAAAAAAAAATGATTAATTTAATAAATTACAATGTTACAAAAAACAGCCAAAGTAATGTCTGACCAAAGACATTGAAATATATAACAGATTATTTCTGAGCATAGATTGTCTTCAATTACATGCATAAAATACAAAATATATAAATTACAAATTATATATATAATTTATATATTTTGTATTTTATGCATGTAATTGAAGACAATCTATGCTCAGAAATAATCTGTTATATATTTCAATGTCTTTGGTCAGACATTACTTTGGCTGTTTTTTGTAACATTGTAATTTATTAAATTAATCATTTTTTTTTTTTTACTTCTTTTTATTTCATTTTATTTACTCAATATTTATTTAGTCTATGAAATAATATTATGAATGTCATTAATTTATAATTATATTATGGAATATATAAATATTTTTAAACATTTTAATTAAGATAAAATGTTGTTTTCCTGTTTTCTTATCACTCTAGCTAAATAATTTATAACTTCCTTTCTAATGATCAGATTACATTAGAATGCATTAGGTGATCTGGATAGATTTTATTTATTTTTATAATGAATATTTTATTGGATTAATGTTTTTATATTATAAAACTATTATGTACTTGTTTTGCCATTTTCACATTTTTAAGCTTCATAACAACTATTAATTCTTATCTCTTTAGAGTTACATACAAGTCTCTTTAGAGTCTTATTCTTATCTCTTAGAGTTACATTTTAAATTAAACTTTTTAGGTTTACAATATATATACATTCATATTAGAATTCAAAAATGCTAAACATATTTCATATGTCAATATTAATTCGTATACAGTTAATGTATATTATCTGTATATGAAACTAGTATTTAAAACTTAATACATTTAAAATTATTTTCAATTTGTGCTGACAATAGATATTTAAACATGATATAGGAAATTTTAAAGCTGTCAGTATGGTTTTAGATAGAGATGGATGATAAAATATTCTGAAAAAAATAATTTTTCTACGTGATAAATAATCATCTGTCTTCTATAAATTGTCTTCTTTTTATGCAGTTACATCTTTGTGATTAAGTGGGATTAGATGAAATTTACAATAAATACTTTGAAGCTAGTTGTATTAAATGTGAAAAAAATTGTATAATACATTAAAATATTTTTAAAATATATTTTAAAAAAAGCAAATTTATTGATAGTGATACTATTAAAAAATATACTAGAAGTGCACCTAATTATTTTTATTTATTAATTATCATATATGATAATACATATTATTATCACATACAGTTTTTTCATGAAAGATGCAATCCTGAAGTGAAAAAAGAGAGGACTTAAAAAATATCATCACGTAACTAATTATATTTTAAACTAATTTAACTCAAGTAGTTTCTTAATGAGAAATTTGATAACATCGGAAGACAAGTNTCATTTTTTTTTTTTTACTTCTTTTTATTTCATTTTATTTACTCAATATTTATTTAGTCTATGAAATAATATTATGAATGTCATTAATTTATAATTATATTATGGAATATATAAATATTTTTAAACATTTTAATTAAGATAAAATGTTGTTTTCCTGTTTTCTTATCACTCTAGCTAAATAATTTATAACTTCCTTTCTAATGATCAGATTACATTAGAATGCATTAGGTGATCTGGATAGATTTTATTTATTTTTATAATGAATATTTTATTGGATTAATGTTTTTATATTATAAAACTATTATGTACTTGTTTTGCCATTTTCACATTTTTAAGCTTCATAACAACTATTAATTCTTATCTCTTTAGAGTTACATACAAGTCTCTTTAGAGTCTTATTCTTATCTCTTAGAGTTACATTTTAAATTAAACTTTTTAGGTTTACAATATATATACATTCATATTAGAATTCAAAAATGCTAAACATATTTCATATGTCAATATTAATTCATATACAGTTAATGTATATTATCTGTATATGAAACTAGTATTTAAAACTTAATACATTTAAAATTATTTTCAATTTGTGCTGACAATAGATATTTAAACATGATATAGGAAATTTTAAAGCTGTCAGTATGGTTTTAGATAGAGATGGATGATAAAATATTCTGAAAAAAATAATTTTTCTACGTGATAAATAATCATCTGTCTTCTATAAATTGTCTTCTTTTTATGCAGTTACATCTTTGTGATTAAGTGGGATTAGATGAAATTTACAATAAATACTTTGAAGCTAGTTGTATTAAATGTGAAAAAAATTGTATAATACATTAAAATATTTTTAAAATATATTTTAAAAAAAGCAAATTTATTGATAGTGATACTATTAAAAAATATACTAGAAGTGCACCTAATTATTTTTATTTATTAATTATCATATATGATAATACATATTATTATCACATACAGTTTTTTCATGAAAGATGCAATCCTGAAGTGAAAAAAGAGAGGACTTAAAAAATATCATCACGTAACTAATTATATTTTAAACTAATTTAACTCAAGTAGTTTCTTAATGAGAAATTTGATAACATCGGAAGACAAGTTTTGGTAGTTTTTATACTGTTGTGGATAAATATTAACATTTGTACAAAAAATGTTGCAAGGGTTGCATGCAAATATTTTCTAAAAAGATTCAAAAATTTTTATAAATTACAATATGTGACACCAAATTCATAATGAATAGTGTATAAAATATTCAAACATTTCTAAATAATCTAAAACAATATTGTTTAATATTATATCTGATAAAAATATAAATGAGAGTAAGTTTTAAATATTAAGTGAGAATACATATTTTAATTAGAAATAATATTTTTAGATTAATTAATTTTGATAATTATTGTTTTCTTACAATTTTATTTATATATTTAAATACAAAATAAAATTATAATTAAGTATATTTATTAATTAAGAATTTTTCATTTTAGTGCACAATAAGAATATTAATAAAATATAATGTTATACAACTTTTAGAATAATTTATAATAAAAGATATTATAGTATAGTATCTAATTATTATTGATTTTAAATTAGGAACTTACTGTACCTTCAGTTCCTGCTGAAGATGAACAACAAGGTATTTAAATTAAATTTTTTAAAATAGTTTAGAACAGTGTTTTTCAAAGTGTGGTATTCATATCCTGTGGTATACAAAATGTCTTCAGAGGGTACATGGCAATTTTTGACTATATGTCATCAGGGCTATCAAGAGTTTATAATTTTTTTAATGGTAGAGTGGAGTCCTTTCATCTCTTAAAAGGTCCTTTTAGCCTTTTGTTTTTGAACAAAAGAAATATGTAGAATGTTTCTTCATTAATAAAAAGCAATCTTAAAAGATTTTATTTTCTGTTAGTAAAACTAATGCTAATATTATAAGGCTTGGAATCACTATGGACTTCTAACTATTCTCTGGACCTGGGGAAAAATCCCCAGCTCTGATAGCTCTGTATATATACCACTGATGCATAGAATAATTAAGAAAAAATACTGTAATGTAACAAATTGTTTTAAATGTATATATTTTTAAATAAATTATATATTTTGATGAATTTTCCTACTCAAATTGTGATAAGTTCATTTGAGTAGTTTGCAATCGATTTTTTTTTCTTTTTTTTGACAAAGGGTCCTCAGTATTTATGAAAATTTGAGAAGGATATATGGATGTCAGAACTTTGGAAAACATTGATTTATAAAATGATATTTTTATTTGCTGATATTTGAACTTAATTATATTATAATTATCAGTTTCTAGAAATTAAATTAAATTAAAATTGTGCCACTTGCATTATAAAAAATACACTGCAATTATTGATAAATTGAAAAACAACATATGTTAGGAATTATGTTAAATTGTAATATCAAAGAATTATCTGTTGATTTATTAAATGAAATTGAACCTCAAATAATGGTATTCTTCCAATACCATTATTTGAGGTTCAATTTCATTTATTCTTCCAGTAACAGCCATCCCTTAACTAACCATTTTCCATCAATGTTTCTGTTTGAAATACAGTGGAACCTTACTTAACGAGTATAATTCATTTCAGAATCTTACTCGTAATGCAAAACACTCGTTAAGTGAAACAATTTTTCCCATATAAATTAATGTAAAATATGATAATGCGTTTCATGCTGAAAAAAATATCAAATATTTTATGTATAACATTTATTCAAAGAAAATTATACAATTGTTGAGGAGCATGAATCATCATCATCATTTCTTCTAGTATGGAATGAACCAACCTGGAATGCAAGTTCAATTTGCAGAAAACAAAAAAAAAATTAAAATTTAATTTGGAATTGGTCATTAAATTTAATACAAGATGGCAGCATAACTGCCTACCTCTAGTCAAATTAATTAATTTCTAATATTTAATTATAATTTTTACATAGCCCAAGAATTTGGAATATCATTTGGTGTGTTTATTATATAATGAGCTATGGTTGTTGATATTTATACATAATATGTCTGAACACAAGTTTGGAAAAACGTGTGATCACAAATGACACTAAGATGCAAGCAGAATGAGTGCTAAACATAGACTGATATAACATGCGCACAATCTGGGACTTCCCCTCTTCTCGTCACTTGTTATGCGAAACGTTGCTTGTTAAGAGAGTCATTTTTTTACAATTTGTTTTGCTCATTATGCAAATTATTCATTATGAGAGATGCTTGTTAAGTGAGATTCCACTGTACAAAGAAAATAATCTCCAAACAACTGTATCAAAGATTTGACTTGCCCTTGTTTAGAAGTTTGACTGTATTATGTTTTACAATGGTAAGAACTATATAGATTATAATAAAATATTTTAAAAACAGTAATATAAACTTTATTTGTTTGATAATACTATTATAAAATCAGTTTAATTTAAATCAGATTTTTAAACTAAATATTCCAAAAAATAAAAAATTAAGGATAAACATTAGTAAAAATAATATAATATGAATTTTTTTTTCATCAGAGCTAACTTGGATGCAATTTTTCAAAAATTCTACTTTAGAATATTTTTATTTTTAAAATTTACAAAATTTTTAAAAAATTCAATAAAGTAGATAATACATAAATGTCTTATTATGTTGTCTTTTTGCACACACATTTATTCACATATTTCGTTTTATTCCCTAAACTAAGAATTTAAATTTTGAAACTAACTAACCTATCCTGTAGCAAAATACTGCTGTAAATAGCAAACAAAAGTGAGCAACCTTAACCAGTTTATTACTTCATAATTTAAGTAACTTATCAGATTACTGCCACCTCATGAATATTAATCTGTTTTAATGACTTAAAGAAAATAGTTTTATCCTTACATTATTTAATTATGTATAAAATTAAAGTGATTTACATGTACTTTGCTTTTAGGATTTTATAATCCAGTTTTACATTTCTACTTTATCAATTCTTTTTTTGATGTATTTATAAAAACAGTTAAAAATTTAATTTTATCTCATTGTTATTGTTCCTTCATTTGCATTTAAATTTTTTTTTTCTTTATACTCTGGGATGAAAATCTCATCATAAATAAACATGTCATTCTTTATCATAAGATCATTTATTTTATTGTAGATCAGCTTGTTTTCCTATATATATATATATATATATATATATAATACATTTTCTTTTATTTATCATTATTTATGCAACATAAAAGTAAGATCTTTAACAGTGATAATACTCTTCATAAATATCTTTGTAGGATTTTTAGATGTTAAGACTTGTTAACTATAAATGCACTCTGATTATTTAAGCAATTGAAACTAAAGAATGTTTATACTCAATTTAAAGTCTATAGTTCAATTATAAATAATTGTATAGCTTATGTCTCACCAATTTGGTGTTTAGAGAACACAGGTGTTCAGAGTGTTACACAAAAAAAATGTTTTTATTGCAAATTGATTCCAATATACTATAACATTATTTTAATTTATAATTCCATGTTTACTATTTTATTCGATACAATGAAGTTTATTAGTTTATTGCTTCATTGTTTCACGAGAACAGAAAACATGGAATTCTTTATTGATTTTGAATAAATTGATGCTAATGCTCCATGTAATAAAAAGTATATGAGTGATGTTTTGTGGCCTCAGAAAGGTTGAGAAATGCTGGTTTATTTTATTGTGGATCAGCTTGTTTTCCAATATATATATATAATACATTTTCTTTTATTTATCATTATTTATGCAACATAAAAGTAAGTTATACAAATAAATTGATTCAGAAATTATTTTCTTTAGAAAGTTATGTATCAGAAAATGTATTAAGATTAGAATTAAATAGTATGCAATATAATGAAAAGAATTAAACTGTACAATTTTACATTGAAATTTGGTAAAATTTAAATTATCAATGACACAATTAAATTTGTATATTATAAGTTAAAAACATTTGATAAGGAACATTTTTGTAATAATTTATCTACAGTTCATGAAAATGGAAAAACATTATAAATTATATAATTGTGTTTGTTTTGATTTGCTTGTATTCTTTCTTTGTAATGAGAAAAATTTTCTAATTCAATAAAGGTGATTGACTTGATTTGGAAATTAAATAAAATCATTTATTTAGTTTTTTTTTAATCGTACATTTCGTGTTTGTTACTAACTGATTGAAGATATTCTAGAATTTGAACAAAATAAGCATTAATTAAGAATGAAAGTTCCAACAAGAAAGAAATATCTTCTGTGATTTAATATGCACAAAGTTGATTTTATTGGAGAAACAAATTATTTTTTATAAATTTTAAACATTTGTAAAAAAATTTATATAAATAACACAATATAAATATATATTTTTTAACTGTATGATTTATATTTTGAATTATCAAATCTCAGATTTGATTTGTAGTTTTTTAATTATTATTAATATAATTTATATATCTTTAAATTAAATCCGGTTATAAACTTTTTTCCTTTCTTTTTGACATATGCTGCTAGGTGCATTAAGTTCATTAAATACCCCTCAACTGATGTTGAGGGGTATTTAATGAACTTAACCAATCCAGTCAAGACTTGCCAGTTTTAATGATAATTTATGTNGCATGTTACTTATCGATACAATGGAGAATAATCATTTAATATTTAGTGTTTATTTCTTCATTATTCTTATTATATGAATGTATAATTATGTGATTTTATAATGATAAGCCATTTAAAATACTAAGATATATAACTATTGTATTAATTAAAATATTATGATTTATTGTTGTTATAGGAAGTCTTGTTAAGCAATTATTGGAAACTAAAAAAGATTTAGAAGGTGGAAGTCAGCAATTACCTTCCAGAAAAGTTGAAATTGTAAGATTATTTTATAGTTTATTATTTATTATTAAAAGTTTTTGATTGAAGTGAAGATACATTAATTTATTTAACATTTTATTCTAATGTAATCAAATAATTTTTAGGATAAATCTCAGATGACTGATGTTGCAAGAAGAAGAGAGAGAGAATCCACTACTAAAGAACTAGAACAATTAAGGTCTTTTATTCAGACCGTTAGTCGAAGTGCGAATCCATTAGGAAAAATTTTAGATTATTTACAGGAAGATATTGATTCTATGCAACAAGAATTAAAAATGTGGCAAGAAGAACATCAGCAAAATTTGGTTGCATTACATCGAGAAGAAAGGTCAAGAAAATGTTTCTTTTTTTGTATAAAATTTATTTCCAATGTAATATATTCTCATATATTTATTTATTTCTATAGTATAACGGAAAATGTTCTAGATCCATTAAGAGCACAATTGGAAGAATTGGAACAGACTGTACAAGATCAATTAGACAGTATTAGCACTTTGAAGAGTTCTATATTGCGCAACGATGAACGTATCCACCGCATGTTAACTGCTGTCAATCAGACTCACGATTCAGAAGACATGCAACTATTTTAATGTCACCATTAGTGCCATAGTTATTAATTAACTTCACCACGTCATTATTTTAATTGATGTGATAACAGAAACTCAAATATTATCAATTATTTTCTCTCTTTTTTCTAAATGCTCAAAGATATTTTTGAACTTGATTTATTTGTATAGTATGTTGAAATAAGATGCCTGTTACCAAAGTAAGTGCCTGTTTGTATTAATCCGTCCACTCGTTTGCTAAATATATAATTTATTGTTATATTTGAGAAGCAATACTTTGTATTTTAAAATTTTTGCACAAAATTTGTCAAGAGTGTTATTAAAAGCATTTATTCAGTTCCTACATCCTTCTTGTGTCTTAATTTAAACTTTGATACATTCATTCAGTAGCATATTTATACTAAATGCATATTATTAATTCTTAAGATGAACTTAAGATTTCTTGTTATTGTTCTGCATTTATTAGATTTTTGATTTGATTAAGTCAACATTTATCATCATGGAGTAATTAAGTATTCAGATATTGTTCGTATTTGATTTAATAAAGATTTTATCATTTAAATCAAACGAGTTATCCAAACTTGATCATCTAGTCTCACATAGAATCAGCTAAAAAGCACTATTTAGGATTCAGTTCACACACAAAACAAAATAAATTACGATTTTGTTAAGTAGTGATAAAATATTTAATTTTAATAATTTAATTCCTGTAAAATAACATGAATATTTATTAGATTAAAAAAAATTTTTGAATGTAAATTGTCCTCATCACTCATATGCTTTTGATTTATATGTCTGTATACTAAACTATAAAATAATTTTTATGAAAATCAGCTTAAAAAACCTGCATTTTTGACTTTGAATATAAAATCTTTAAGTTCTTATGCTAATTTAATGCACTAACTATGTAACTTTTAAAAATACAAAAAAAGAACAATTTTTTTAATATTAATTTCATGTTTTTATAAGAGGTATTATGTTTTATTACACTGTAAAATATTACTATAATAATAGAAAATAGTTTTATATTGATGGTTAAATCATTGAAATAATTAAAACTTTTATGTTTGTTATTTGTTATCAAGAAAACATAAAGTTATGTTTTCTTGAATTTCTGGCCATCCCATTGTGGACCTGGCTGAATCCATAATGGGCTTGCTAAAAAAGGCCCTCTTAGTGCCCACAGGGTGGAAAGAATTAAAAAGTAAAAGATATGAAAAATGAAGTGGCTTGTTACAATCTTTGGAAGAAGCAATCATCTTCTCAATATGTAACTATCAAAACTATATGGGAGTTGTGGTATCACAGGCATGTTACTTATTGATACAATGGAGAATAATCATTTAATATTTAGTGTTTATTTCTTCATTATTCTTATTATATGAATGTATANTTTAATTAAATAAATAATATAATTACTTAATTTATTTAAAATTTTACTGAAAGATGTTACATTTGCATTTTAAAATTTTATTAATGAAATTAAAAAAAATGCAAATGTAGCATCATTACAGTAAAATTTCAAAGTTTACACTTTAATTACTTAAGCCAAACTAGTATGGTGAGTACTATTTTTGGCAGGTATAAATTATTGTTTAACCAACATGTAGTTGTACTCATACAGAATATTAATAATATGACTATACTGATTTAAAATTATATAAAATACTGTAAAATATATTGATCTAGTATATTTTAAGTGTCTTTATATCAAACATAATAGTTTTATATGAAATAAGTTTTATTTTTTTGATTAAAATTGCGATTTTTATCAGGAAGGAGAGGGTGTAGATACTAGGAAATCGTTTGATATGTTCACATATTAACAAACGTTCCGGATATACAGTGCAGTGAATATCCATAAAACAATAGCTTTAGTTAAGTAAACGCTTGATATTCTAACCTTTGTATTTTTGTATTGAATGAAATGATACAAAATGCACCAATGAACGACGTTATAACAGAGTGACAACCGGTTTTTACTCACTTTGCATACGCCTCTGGCAAATATATATATATTTATATATTATAACAGACTGTCGACCCTTACTTATTCTTATCGCCAGACTGCTGCAGATATGGTACTGAGTCTATTGCTTCTACTAGTTGTCTACAGGTTAAATGTATTGGGGGAGAAATACATCAGTGGAGACAACAGTGATGAGATTGCAGCTACTCAATATCTTAGCTCTCATAATCGAGTCCTGGCAGAAAAATGCAATATTGTAGTTCAAGCAGAATGGAATTATGCAACAAATATTACAGAAGAAACCAAGAAAAAAATGGTAAGTTTCCATTTTTCTATTGATAATTATTAATTACGAACATTTCCAGCGGATATCAAGTTTCTGTGTAAAAGGATTTCCGATTTTTTTTTTAGCTTCCTAATTAATTAATATAGATTTTAATTTAACTTTATTTATTTATTTTAATAAATACTTTTTAATATTTTAAATATTTTTCATTCTTTATATATATAATAATGATAAATCAAAAAGAAGAAGCGATTGAAAGTACTACATTCAACTTTAAAAATAGTCTGACATGATAGCTAACTTAATTTTTCTATTGTGAAACCAATTATTTAGTTCGATCTTCAGCTTTCTATCGAACAGTATACCAGTGACTATGCAGTAAAGGTGAATTTACTTGTTATTGTTTAAAAGCAATAGGCGTATCGGCAATAACTGCAATATCATCTACTCGCAAGATTTTCGTTATTCTACGAGTGATTATAAATCAGTAAAGCAAAACTTTTATACAAAATACAAAAAAAAAAAATTGATACTAGGGTGTGTCAATTTTTTGTTGTTTTTCGAGGACTTACTCAAGGAAAAAATCATTGAGCCTGAAAATAAATTTAAAAAAATAAATAAATATCCTTCAAACTTATAAACAATAGCTTTTATATATACACACATCACTAGTTAAATCGAAAAAAATATCGCTGATAATAATTAATTAATTTTGCGACTTAACCAAATGATGTCAGAGCATAACTTGTTGCTTATAAGTTTATTCTAAATTTAATTGGGTGTCTTCTTCCCGGAAGTGTATTATTTTATGTTTTTTTTTTCTAGACTTAAACTTTGAACTAGAAACAAGTAGGTAGCGACCTTACTTCAAAGATAACTGCCCTCGTTTACTGTCAAAAGATTACTTCGGGCGGTCGAATTTAGATGTAGCAGGTCTAGTTACGTCATAATATAAATTTTCAACATTTTCTGATAAAAAAAATCTATTGAATTATTTCGAGTAAAAGTGTCAGTTTTTTTTTCTTTAATTGATTAAATGGAAAGTAATTTTCTGTAAAGATCAAGCCTTTCTAACTTTGCAAGGCCATTTCTATCATTATCTATAATATAGATAGGTCATAATCTCGTGATATTTTTAATAAATATTTAATAATTATATCTAAGATTATGCTAGCGTGTATATGAGATCGATCATTTGTAATTTAATATTTTCATAAATTATTTCAGAATATTCTTCGCTGTATATAAAATTATCCACCAATTTTATTACAGTTTATGACAAATTTCGCTATTAAACTGATAAGAAATGTATTGGAAGGATTGGATTTGATGCACGCTAATCTTTCCCTTTTGCAGGAAAATCACACCGTGAAACAAATAGATAAACAATAAATACTTCTATAATTCCCTCTTCCTTAAAACTAACAGAACATATTTATTTTTTCCGGAATTTGCCCCAAATACTTTAAAGGTAATTAATACATCAAGAATAACTGCACTTGTCGTGGTTTATGGTCTATTCTAATTTTAAATATTCGCATTGCTTAGTGGAAAAATGAAAATAAATGAGAAATATACGTTTATAATTTAATAAAATTAAGCTTAATTTAAATTAATACTGAAGTCTTTTTAAATTTTAGTTAGAAGAAAGCTTGAAATATGCCGAATTCGTAAAGGAAGCGTGGACGAACAGTACGTCTTTCGCATGGAAAACTTTCAAAGATCCTCTGATAAGACGTTGGTTTAAAAAATTGTCTGTACTTGGTAAAGCTGCCCTCCCAGACGATCAATTAAGAGAGGTTTGTGTAAAAATTAGCTAGAATTTATTATTCTTGCCACGTATACAAGTATATTTATTTATTTCTTCCAGTACGATAGCTTGATAGCTGATATGAAGAACATCTACAGCACATCTAAAGTATGTCCGTATAAAAAAGAAACTGATGAAAAGTGCAATCTCTCGCTCGATCCGGGTAACAAATATTATTGATTTAATGAAAGAAAAGATAAATTTAAATATTTATTTTTGTTGTAGGGTTGACAGTATTATTAATTTCTATTGTAGAGTTGACAGAAATCCTTACTAAATCTAGAAACTATGAAGAATTGGCTTACGTATGGAAATCGTGGAGAGATGTTTCTGGAAAACGTGTCAAGGATAAATATATTCGCTTCGTAGAACTTAGCAATAAGGCAGCAAAATTAAATGGTATATATAATATAATTTGTTGTATAATGAGCGATCGCCAACCAAAGTCCTATTTTTATAATTAACTAGCTACGTGTGCCCGGAGTTGCTCAGACTTTCGAGGGGGTGAGGATCAGTGATGTCGAATTAGGAGAGGGTGATAAAAATAATGGTCTTAGTAACTAAAATGTATGTTTATTGGCCTGAGTATGTGCAATAATGAAATTGCAAAACACGAAAAGTTGCTCGAGCTTAAGAGAGGATGGACTTTAGGAGTGGTTGTTAGGGACCTCACAGTACTTTTTATATGTGAAGAATATTCATACTGAATTTGGTGCAGATACATTGAATAGTATAGAACCCTTTACCTAACATACGTACATAAATACGTACATATTTTGACATATATATATGTTATAGTTCACATATTATCTTTACAAGCAAAATAAATAGTAAAAATAAAAATAATAATAGAATTTTATTGTATTTTAAATTCGAGAGACTATTATCCATAATTTTTCAAGTTCATCACATAAAATTTTCGTGTTTACAACTGATAATATATTAAATATCGCGAAGCATATCACGACCTTAATCAAACCAGTTTTGAATTTATGAAGGTTACTTCAAATCTTAGCATTTTCCTGATCTATTGAACGCATCGCATATATTTTTTTTTCTTATTTTTTAAGCGGAACTAAACTAGTTTTAATAAATAAAAAATCGCGGCAAATAAATCGTCAGATTTAGATATAATTATTCGTTTTAATTTTAGGATTCGAAGATATGGGTGAAATGTGGAGAGAGAGATACGAGTCGGACACTTTCCAGCAAGAAATTGAACAGTTGTGGAAACAAATACGTCCCCTTTATGAACAACTTCACGCCTACGTTCGTAGGAGATTGATTAAATTGTATGGAAGTGACAAAATTCGTCACGATGGTCCAATTCCCGCTCATATATTAGGTAAGAATGATAAATTTTGCTGCATTTTCAAAATTACATTGAATTTCTGTTTTTCCTTTGGTAGGAATTAAACTATAGTTTTAACACACACCGACATTATATGACATACAAAACTAATCAATTTACAGATAAATACAACAAAAATTCCAACTCAATTTGTGCAACAATTTGTTGCACATGCTTGTCGTTTTCCTTAGTTCTTTATTATAGAATGAATAATGCATTGCAATAATATTATAATAGTCAATCATATAATAATTGACAAGTATTTTATGATGATAGGTGTAAAGAAAACGATAAAAATTAGCCCAGCAGTGGCACAGTGGATAAAACCATGGAACAGATTGATGAGGTCGCGGGTTCGCGCCCACCAACGGCTCATCGCGTGGAGTTATCCGGATTTTCGTTCACGTGTCTAACATCTAAATAGAGATAAATTTTTCAAGTCTTCCCTGGGGCCTTTCTACGAATCAAATATCCAAACGGTATAAATTAAATGAAATTAGAGGTTTCGTTTGATGGAAGAAGACAACGCAACACACGGACGATTAATCATTGATAGTTCTCCCAGGGAAAATGGTAGCTATTTATTACATTCGTCAAGGAAACCTGGAAAACTACGTGCCCTAGTCTGTTTGCCAGGCACGAACCCGCGACCACCTATCAGTGTTTAGTGATTTCCGTTACTGGTGGGCCGGAAATTAGAGGATGTTACTATTTAGCAGCATTAAATGCATGAGAAATAGTGCATGTAGTATAGCGTTCAAACATATTTTTACGAAATTTTGCAACAATATCTTATAATTTTATTTATAGCTTTAGATATAATATTAATGTTATTAATAAAAATGAAATCTCTCTTAAATACGATTTTATTTAAGATATTAACACAAGTAATTAATGTACTGTACATATAAACAAGTTATGTTATTGTAACATGTCCAATATGGCAACTTGGATCATAACTGGATCCAATCCTGATTTCTTCACGTTTGCAATACATAAACAAGGGTCAGTTTTCCTAGAAAACTGTTCCCTATTTATGCATTGCAAACGTGAAGAAAACCCGGAAAACACGTGACCAGGCGTGAACCCACGACCAAGCTGGTTGGCGAAACTTTATCAGGTTTTCATTCTTCATAGGTTGATACGATTGAAGCAATGTTACAATAGTAACAATTTTTCTTAAAATTCTTGAAATGACAAACGTCAAACAATTTTTTAAGTGGAACTTTGAAGAAAATTTGTCCAAAAACTCGAGAAAAACATTAACGTCAGTACATATCAAGTATAAAAATTAAATAATCATTATCGATCAAGAAAGGACACTGTTCCAAATAAAGTATGATTCATTCTGTTGAGATATAAGAGACACTTTCTTTACTTGTTTCTTTATAAACACACACGTAGACCTATATATGTTTCAGTTGCGTTATTAAAATGGGTTGAGTTAAAAAAATTGCCTATTAAATTTAAAGTAGCTCGCGAAATATAGCTTATGAATTGCTGCGCTAGATAAGGTAATTTTTTATAATTGTAAAAAACACGATGTCTGCATTTTTTATTGTTGTTTACATAAGTTCTTATTAGTGTCAGTGGCGTATATATGGAGTGAGGGGCTACAGGGGATAGGCCTTCTCCATTGACACACAAAAAATTAATTAAATTTTATTTGTTTGAACTACAAAACGTTGTTTCTAAAAGCATGTTAATAAAAGATAGTTATTAATTTCGCAACTATTTTTGAAAAGCTTTCTCTGGAGAGGCCAGCAAGACCATTTGGTTAGGGCCTCAAAAATCGTTGTTAAATGATTCAGTTTATTGCAATTCATGTGTATTAAAAATATTATACTATTATTAATATCTTGTTTACAGGAGAAAAAATAATATAATGAAATTAAATTTTTAACGGTATTTCTTTATNTCAAATCTCAGATTTGATTTGTAGTTTTTTAATTATTATTAATATAATTTATATATCTTTAAATTAAATCCGGTTATAAACTTTTTTCCTTTCTTTTTGACATATGCTGCTAGGTGCATTAAGTTCATTAAATACCCCTCAACTGATGTTGAGGGGTATTTAATGAACTTAACCAATCCAGTCAAGACTTGCCAGTTTTAATGATAATTTATGTTTGTTTTAAGAATAAACTTGTAGTACTAGTAGTTTGTTTTTTCCCTTTTTAACATGTGCTTGCTAATTTTAATTTTTCTTGTATTTTCAGGTTACTCTAATACATTTTTGCTATTTTAATTCATTCAATAAATTGTTTTGTTCACATAAAAATTATTGGAAATAATTGTTTTCTGTGGTAATCTATAACTAGTATAATTAGAACTAGTATAATTAGTCAGAACTAGTATAATAGTATAATATAGTCAGATTTTATTGTCATTTATCAAAACTCTCAATTTATTAATGAAATGTATTTTGATTCTTTTTTTTGTGTGTGTGTGTATTTTCACATGTTTTGATATGTTCGTAAGTTTTGATTTTAATAAACTTTTCACCTTAATTTTGCAATAATTTAAATTAAAAAAAAAATTATGTTAATTACAATAGAAAAAAATCTTGTTAAAATATTTAATAATAATAACATTTAATAAACTTTCTTTAAATAATTTTTAAAAATTTAATAAAATTTTTAATGTCAGTGAAGTATATTTAAACTTTTCACACTTTTATAAAATTTTGATCAAATGGGGATTTTTTTCATTTTAAATTCACCAAATTTTAAAACGTTCATATTAATATTAACTTAATAGCTCATAAGAAACACAAAATTTAATTGTAAAAAAGAATAAAAATTAGAAAAAGTAAAACTAATTTTTTTTAAAACTAAAATATGTTTAATTTTTACATTTTTCATATAATTATTATTATCATTAATTATTAAGTTAACTTATTAAATTCTTAAGATAATTAATATTCAATAACATCATTAATGCTAGTCAATAGTATAAAAACAATTAATATGTTTAGAATAAATTACCAAGTGATTAATTATAGTTACTAGAAGTTTATCATCAGTTAAAAAAATTTATTAATATTAATTTCATGTTTTTATAAGAGGTATTATGTTTTATTACACTGTAAAATATTACTATAATAATAGAAAATAGTTTTATATTGATGGTTAAATCATTGAAATAATTAAAACTTTTATGTTTGTTATTTGTTATCAAGAAAACATAAAGTTATGTTTTCTTGAATTTCTGGCCATCCCATTGTGGACCTGGCTGAATCCATAATGGGCTTGCTAAAAAAGGCCCTCTTAGTGCCCACAGGGTGGAAAGAATTAAAAAGTAAAAGATATGAAAAATGAAGTGGCTTGTTACAATCTTTGGAAGAAGCAATCATCTTCTCAATATGTAACTATCAAAACTATATGGGAGTTGTGGTATCACAGGCATGTTACTTATCGATACAATGGAGAATAATCATTTAATATTTAGTGTTTATTTCTTCATTATTCTTATTATATGAATGTATAATTATGTGATTTTATAATGATAAGCCATTTAAAATACTAAGATATATAACTATTGTATTAATTAAAATATTATGATTTATTGTTGTTATAGGAAGTCTTGTTAAGCAATTATTGGAAACTAAAAAAGATTTAGAAGGTGGAAGTCAGCAATTACCTTCCAGAAAAGTTGAAATTGTAAGATTATTTTATAGTTTATTATTAATTATTAAAAGTTTTTGACTGAAGTGAAGATACATTAATTTATTTAACATTTTATTCTAATGTAATCAAATAATTTTTAGGATAAATCTCAGATGACTGATGTTGCAAGAAGAAGAGAGA